GGTCTACCTTTCTTGTACATATAATTTTTTATTTTCACGATTTGTCTGCTTCAGATTCCAGTGGTGATAGATATGTCATCGCATCATGAGCGTGGGATTGTCAGTTTTGTTAGGGAATTCACATACGGGCTCAGGAATTTTCATTACAATATTACAAATAGCATGATATGTCTCTGTGGTATATTTTGTGGTTTCTAGCATCTTCTATATATAGTAATTTACTGTGTACTAGCAAGCCACGACGAGAGCGTTCTAAAACACCATCAGCCACTCAAGGCTATGATACAGGCACTACCGGATACAGTGTCAGATATTAAAAAAAATCCTTATCAGCACTGTCTGATCGCTTTGGAATCCACTAATGCAAAGATGCAATGTTGTATCAATTTCAACAAAGACTGTTCTAACACGATTACATCTCATTGTCGCAATTGCCTCTTGTTCTGCCAATTTTCTCCCCTGTTCAAGTGGCGATTCCAAATTATATATTTCTGCCGACTGCATTATTATAACCACCATACGAACCGCTATCGCATCAGTTTTCTCTGTCGCATTTTCACGCCCACGTAGCTAGGCCATGGCTTACCTTTCGATCGGCACCAATATTCTACCACTACTTTACTGATCACGGGTCCGAGGCTAAGACACTTCGAGCTGAGCTGCGACTTCGAATTTCTAGGCGGAGGTTAATCCGACCTCCAATACAGCATGACGTCTCAACATCCTGACTTCGACGAGTTCTACGACGATCAAGTGGCAGCTCATCGACAGCTCTTTCCACAACAGAATCCTTGGGATCGCATCACCCAACCAAGTGTCCTCATCTCTTGTCTCATCGTTGTCGTCACTATTACATACAACTTATATGCTTCAACCACTACTTTTCAAGAATCAATACAGCTTTTAGGAACCAGTCTTTGGGACGGCCTTGTATTCATTGTCCCTGAGAGCCTCCTGAATGCGTTAGATACATCCGATAATTCCACTACAACCGCAACCTCCGAGTCGATGAGTCTCGTCGAACGAAGCCATCATGCCGTCAAAAGCGACAAGCTGCGGAGGGTCTTGGGGATGACACGCCCCGGCGGCGTCATGTCCTCGGTCTTTGAAGTCAGAAACCGCGCCCTTTCGATGACCGGCAGCGTTTTGGGCTTGAAGACCGAATCCGATCGCCCACCAGGTCTTGGCAATATGGACAACTCATGCTACCAGAATAGCATCCTTCAAGGACTTTCATCACTCAAACCTCTTCCTGAATACCTCTCCACCTATCTTGAAGCATCGAATAAAAGTGGTGATCAAGACGTTGCGCAAGCATTACGAACCCTGATCGCCGACCTGAACGATGTTTCGAATTATGGACGCACGTTATGGACTCCAGGTCTGCTCAAGTCTATGAGTACATGGACTCAACAGGATGCTCAAGAATACTACTCCAAACTATTAGACGATATTGATAAGAGTGTCGCAAAGGCTATCAAGAATGCGCAGCCTCAACACCCCGGTCTGGCCGTTAAGATTGATAAGGACGACGCTGCTGCAAGTGAGCATAGTGACGACAGTGGTTATCAAAGCATAATATCTTCGCCTGAGACCAAGTCAAGTCACAATCCATTGGAGGGAATGCTCGCACAAAGAGTGGCATGTGTTCGGTGTGAATATTCCGAGGGATTATCCATGATACCTTTCACGTGTTTGACGCTGAGTCTTGGTTTGAACAAGAATCAACATGACCTGTATGAAAGGCTGGACGCTTACAGCAAAGTGGAAGCGATCGAAAACGTCGAGTGTGCCAAGTGTACCCTTCTGAAGCATGAAGACCTTTTGTCTAAGTTGGTAGACAGGATGCGACACAACGGGGCGCCAGACGAGCAGCTCCAAAAAGCTCTGCGCCGACTTGAGGCAGTCAAGCTAGCTTTGGAAGAAGATGATTTTGAGGAAAAGACTCTGACGGAAAAGTGCAGCATTCCGGCTAATAACAAAGTCAGCTCTACGAAGACCAAGCAGATTGTTATTTCTCGAGCACCAAAAAGCTTGGCAATCCACATGCAACGATCGGTATTCGATCCTTCTACTTTCAACATGATGAAGAACTCGGCTCCTGTCAACTTTCCTATGACACTTGATCTTGGCCCGTGGTGTTTGGGTAGTGCCGCCAATTCCTCGACCCAGGCATCGAGTGCAGAGGAGAAATGGGACGGAGACCCTCGAGAGTCAATGATAGCTGGCGACCAAGGCTCATCCAAATTTACGGGACCTATCTATGAGCTTCGAGCAGTGGTGACACACTATGGGCGACACGAGAACGGGCACTACATCTGTTATCGCAAATATCCACGACATAGCCCGCCTGCTAAAGCAGTTTCCGATGAGGAACCTGATAGCAAGGTGGATATCCAGCCTGAGCTCGAATCAAAGAATCAAGAGAGCGACATTGATGAACCTGAGATGGACTGGTGGAGGCTGAGCGATCACAACGTCTCGAAGGTTAGCGAGGATACAGTGCTAAGCCTTTCCCCCGGAGTCTTTATGCTCTTTTACGATTGTGTGGACTCTACGATGGTTATGAACGATCAAGACGAAAGCATGCAAGATGCCAATGAGGTTGCAGATCTTGGTGGCGCAACCGGGCTGGCCAGTGCAGCGGACAACACGGCTCAAATAACCCAGGGGCACGAATCTCAAAAAGCCAATGGCAAGCCAAAGGAGGCATCGAATTTGGAAGAAGACGCCACGTCATGCATCGCAAATGATCAGGCTGCCGCTGAAACGACAACGCGCGGCTCTAATCTGATCACCAACACAGCACCATTGGTTCACGTTGCGCCATGATGTATTGCAAAGCGGAAGGATGGAATTTGGAAAGGAGAGAGGCGGTGCATGACTAGACAAGGCTTCAAGTCTCGGTGCGCAACAATCGAAGAGCAGGCACGCGTGGTGTCATTTATGGGATTTTATTCAAAAGCATAGCGATGGCGTTGAAGAACCAGTTTACAATGGTTGGTATACCTGTTTATTGAACGAAGGGTTTGGAATAGAGAGAGTTAGCGGTTAAAAGGGCATGTTGTATTGAAGATAGCTAAGTTATTAAGGGTTGATACCAATGGTGGTACTCTGTGCAGGGCATTATAATACATAGACACGTTTCTAAGCGCGGCAAACCGATTGTTATCACAAGCCATCGAATTGAATCGTTTACCGAAATTGTTGTTTCTCGCTTGGATGAATGGGTTAATATGTTTCAGTGAGGGAAAGGCCAAAAAAAAAAAGTTATAAATATGGTGCCGGCACTGAAGGGCCGAGAATAGAGTCGAGAAGCGGTTTGGCCCACTTCAGTGGGAACGGACCCGACGGAGTGCCGAAACAATAACGGCAGGACCCCGAGGGAAAATGGATAGTGGTATTTTGTAGTGTCAGTTGGTTGATCAACCTCCTGAAGAAGCGGGATAAACTTCACTCCGCGGTTAAATCGGCAACTAGTAAGGAGGGCATAGGCGTCTAAGTCGATGGTGAGTTTCTGAATATCTGCTAACTGTGTCAAGTTGAGGAAAATACTAGTCAGAGACAATATGAGATGTCATTGATATGCAAGTCCCTTGGAATAATTCCTCACATGCAATGAACATCACAATTCTGGAGGAATTTAACAGCTCGTATAATTGTTAGTGGCCCCATCAGATTAGAGCCTGTTCAACTTTCAAGGACCTGGTCTGTGAGGTGCTACGTACTCGGCCAAGACCGATCAAAGGGAGAATTGACAGCTGCCATGTGCTTTCTGTTCACCTTGCTCTCATAGTCCCACTATCCAGAGGACCAAACAAGTTAGGTGGTTACAGATGAAATCTAGACCAAGGAGGGTCTCCTCGTATAAACAGCTCGCAATTATGCCAAGCTTCCTGTACCAACCAGGGGACAACGCTTAGCTGTGTCAAGGCATCAGCCTGATTGGTCAATCCGTAAACAGAAACCCCCGGGACAGGGTCTCTGACATCCATACCCCCAGGTGCTGATCAGCATGGGCTTGCCTTGCCGTCTATCCAGCTCTTGCCTTGTGGGACGATTTGCCCTGCGCCCCTTTGCACTGGAAAAGCTTCGCCTGTGATGATAGGTTTGAGCGTAACTTGCTTGGCAGGTACGAGGAGTAAGACGAACGATGGGGAAGTCTTTCACGAGGGTCTGTTGACGTATTAGTTCCGCTCTTTGACCCAGTTGTTGGTTGGAACTCGGCGTCTTTGTCTGAACAGCAGGGCGTTGAGTCGTAGGATTTGTTCGTTTGGGAGCCGATGTTGGCTCGTCTATGTCAGAGATCGGCAACATTGAGCCGATGTTTGGCTAGGGACAGGCCCATTTCGAGGCTGAGCGCGATGAGAAAACGTACATCCTTGACTGTCACTGTATTGTGTTTTGTTAATAAGTATGATGAACCCACGTGTCGTGCCTTGTTGAAATTTCAAGGTTATCTTCTACTTTTGTTTGCCTCTGCTTCTGTTTTTAAATTTTTGTGATAAACCCAAAAGCAAATAATTTTGATAACAAGGAACGACTTATATGAAGCTTCCCGCTTTCATACACAGATCAATCACTAATAAAGGCAGTCGCAACTAACAAACTTGCATCAGATCAGCTTCCGCTTGCACCAAGGAAGTTGCTCGACCAGCCACTTTCCCAAACCGTGTTGTTCGACTTGTCTTGTGAGACCTCCTCATCATCGAACTCTCTCTTTCCAGCCTCTTAAGACACCGAATTTCTTTTTTAATTTCGGTATCTTTTCTTCTCCTCCCTCTTTTTGGACTCTCAGACTTTTTCTCCCTGCTCTCCCTTGGGTAATACGTCACTTGAAGACGAGAGTTTCGGTCTAGCTCCAGGTGGCTTTACACTATTTACGCGCTGTATCGTGTCTCCGACGACAGTCAGCAAGCCACCGGTCACCACTTACTCCTCCCAAACTCGAGAAACGAAATCGAAGCATTGTTTCCTTTTAAACTGAGACACTCGAAACAATGGCGGGATCAAACGATCTGGAGGCCAATAACAGGATGTCGCGTGGGTCTGAGGCTGTCGACAATGGATTCTCAGAAAAGCCTCTAAACCAGGGAACAGGTTCAAGAATACACGCGTCCGTCTACATAATGTACGTGAACTCTGGAGGGGGATAAGTTCTATATATGCGGGGATGTCTAACATGATGTTTGAACAGAACATGGATTTTCTTTTCCAATACCACGATTCTCTTCAACAAGTGGCTCATTGACACTGCTGGATTCCGTAAGTTCCCTACTATCGATCAGGTCATCAAAATTGAATTTGTTTGCTAACTTGCCCTCACAGGATATCGTGAGTATTCTACTCGTTCATGCATAGTGCATCATGACATGTAACTAACGAACTACCAGCTATCATCCTCACAACATGGCATCTCGTCTTTGCAACAATAGCAACGCAACTGCTTGCTCGCACAACTTCTCTTCTCGATTCACGCCATTCACTCCCAATCACTCGACGACTCTACATACGGACTATCCTCCCTATTGGCGTCCTCTACTCCGCCTCACTCGTCTTCTCCAACATTGTGTACCTCTACCTGTCTGTTGCTTTTATTCAGATGCTCAAATCTACCGGTCCTGTCTGCACGCTTGTTGCTTCGTGGGTGTGGGGTGTCGCTCAGCCGGATAGTAAGACTTTTGGCAACATCATGCTCATTGTTGCTGGTGTCGCCATTTCCAGTTTTGGAGAGATCGAGTTCTCCTGGTGGGGGTTTATCTTTCAGATGTGCGGTACCATTGCCGAAGCCGTGCGTGTTGTCATGATTCAGGTCATGCTCAGCGCCGAGGGTCTCCGTATGGATCCTCTTGTCGGCCTCTACTATTACGCCCCTGTTTGTACCCTCATGAACATGGTCGTTGTCTTGTTTAGTGAAGGCCCCCGATTTAAGTGGGAGGATGCAGCTCATGCCGGTTATGGTGTCCTACTTGCCAACGCTTGTCTTGCATTCTTCCTGAATGTCATCAGCGTCTTCCTTGTAAGCCAAGCCCAAACCCCTTGCAATTCATTTTCACTGCTAACTCCTATCTAGATCGGTAAAACATCAGGACTTGTCATGACTCTGAGTGGTATTCTTAAGAGCATCCTTCTCGTGGCTGCTTCTGTTGTTCTTTGGGGTACTCACATCTCCCTTACACAAACACTGGGATATGCCGTTGCCCTTATGGGTCTTGTTCTATATTCGATCGGTTACGAACAACTCCTCAACATGTGGGAAGAAGCGGTTGCATGGGGTACCGGTACCCTAAACCGAGAGGGCGAGATGTCTCCTTCTTTACGCAAAGCCATCATGATTGGATGTTTGGGTTTCATCACCGTGATAATTGCTGGTGCGTTATGGCACTATCACGGAATATCTAGCGAGCATGTAACTCGGGTGACTTCATCGTGGTTTGCCCATTGATGACGATTTCACTTAGACACTATATATAGACTTTTAATAATGATCAAACGTTTTAATGAACTATCTATCCCATCATAGTCACAGAGTTGTGATGCTGAACTATTTGGAGAACACTGATATGACGGTATCAATTCATGCTTAAAGGGGTATCTTGTTAAACCACCTGACCCATGGCAAACGAACTTCCAGCTATAAGGCTAGACCTCCAATACTCCTGAAAATTGCCAAAAAGGTAATTGTTATGTCAAAACCAACTCATTATCAACGGCGGCTCCTGCTTCCCCGCCTTTCTCGTCGAGGAGATAGACTGCGCTCTCGCCTGTTCCTCCTATCCCTTGATCGTTCTCTTTCACGGTCCCTATCACGATCACGTCGATCCGTATCGCGATCTCTGTCCCTGTCTCTTCGGTCTCGATCCCTATCACGATCTCTGTCCCTATCTCGCTCGCGATAGCTATCTCCACCCCTCAACTTATCACGCTCGCCTCTATCTCTGTCTCTTTCTCTTTCCCGGTCTCGATCTCGATCTCGGTCTTTTGTTGCGTCGCGTTGTCGGCTGCGGCTCCTAGAACGACTTCTCCTCCGCTCTTCACGACCTCCAGGCGTATATCTGTCAATATCGTCCTGAATCCGGCGGCGGCGTAGGTCAGGAGATATTTCACCACTGCTCTTTTTGTCGTCGAGTCCAGGAATTGGGAGGCCTTTGTTCCTGGCGTCCTTCTGAGCCGCCAGATAAGCCTTGGCCTCTTTTTCCCGCTTTCTGACTTCTTCCATCTTCCACTCCTCAAGGCCATCCTGAGCTTTGCTGGAGCTTGGTCGTGCGGCTGTGGCGGTGGCTCGTGATGGAGAACGACTACGACGCTCAGATGGTTTTTCCTTTTCCTTTTCTTTTTCGCGTTCTTTCTCCGGGTGCGCTTTTTCCTGTTCCTTCTCGCGAGGCTTTGCTTGATCGCGGTCGTCACGAGGCCTTTCTCGGCTTCGGCGTCTCGCAGGAGATCTCTCGCGGTCGCGCTCTCGGTCACGAGGTCGGTCTCTGTCTCGTTCACGCTCTCTTTCTCGAGGATCATAATGATCAGCTCCACCAAGACGAGCATCGCGAGATATGCTCTGATCACGTCGAGGACGGGAACGGCTCCTCTCCCGTCTATCAGAGCGCAGTCGTGAGCGGTCCCTTCTGTCTCTGCTTCGATCTCGTCGCTCGGGTCTAGGTCTAGATCGGCTTCTCTCTCTTCGGTCGACCACTCTAGGTCGAGAACGGCTACGATCACGTCTTCGGGATCTGCTTCGCTCGTAGTGGTCATACTTGGGTCGTGATCGGCTTCTAACCGCACGGTCCTCTCTGCCAGTTCGTGACCGAGTCCTCTCCCTTCTAACTCGAGACCGACTTCGGTCACGTCTATCCCGAATACGTGAACCGCTGAGGCCTCTACGTGGGGAGTTTGAGCGTCTATCGCGACGAGCATCTCGTTCCCTTGGGCGATCACGTTCTCTATCTCTCTCGCGGTCTCCATCGCGGTCGACGATCCGAGAAGCACTACGACTCGTTTTCCGATCGTCCGCGTCAGGTCTCTTGGCCTGTGCAGGTGTTCCAGGACCATCACGTTCAGCTCCGAGCCCTGCATCGCTGGTTTTGCGACCCTCTGCAATCGACGAGCGTTCTCGCCTGATCGGGTTGATAGCCGAAACAGGCCCCGTCTTGCGTGGTGGCGGTGCGAGGGAAGAGTCAATCTCTAACTCTTGCTTTTGGGCTGGCTTGGAGCTCTCGCGGAGCAAATCAGCCAGAGCCTCTTGCTCCAGTCGGTCGTGTTCCTCTTTGGAGAGCTTCTCTTTCAGCTCCGCAGAGACCGCCGGTTTCTCCTTGTGGCGATCATCCCTATGTCGGTCGTGTTCACGATGACGATCTCTGTCTCTGTCCCGATCGCGGTCCCTGTCCCTGTCTCTGTCTCTATCCCTTGTATCACGGTCTCGGTCCCTATCCCGCTCGCGCTCTTTGTGTCGCTTTTCTCTTTCAATATCCCGTAGTCTTTCACGTTCCTCGCGCTCTTGTTCGCGCTTTCGGCGACGCTCGTCTCTTTCTTCCTGGCGTTTTATTTCGGCTTTCTCTCGCTCTCGCTCCTCCTTCTTTCGTTCCTCTTTAAGAATCCTTCGTTTCTCCTCTTCGATTGCGGCCTCTTTTTGTCGCAGTTCTTCCCGAACCTTTTCACGTTCCGCACGTCGGGCCTCAGTCTCGGCCTCATATTCTTCGTCAGTTTTGGCACCTCGAAGCTTTTCTGCCTCAGCTGCTTCCTCGCCGACTTCGGCCCGACGTGTTTCGCGAATGCGCTCCTCTATGGCGCCAACATCGATCAGCTGGCTGATGACATCTTCAGCTTTGTGATAAACCCCAGATCTCTCTAGAGCGCCATCAATTAGAGCTGCAGCCTTTCTCCGGTCAAGTGTGAGAAGCTGCTGTGGGTTGCGCTCGATTTCCTGCTCGGCCACCTCGAGAATCGATTTTGTGACCTGAGCCTCGTAGTCCTAATTATAAATCAGTATAGCATTGCGCATGCGTTCCTAGTTCATCATACGCTGGCTTCAAACTTGTCCCAAACTTGTTTTCGAATAGAATCGTAGGCTCCCTCCTTCTTGAAGCTATGGGCAAGCGATTCTATTGCTGCTCTTGTCGCAGAAGGTAAAGGAAGATCTGAGGCCTTGAATTTGCGCGGTTCTGGAGCAGGCGCTTTTTCGCCATTCAACGGTGGTTGTTCGACACCTGATTGCGCCATGATGTTGGTGATATCTGTTTAGGCGCAAAAGATTGAAAAGGAGATGTGATAGCGCGCGTCGTGCGAGCGCGGAGATGGATCTTGAAGATCAGCGCATAGCGCGGTTTGCCAATCAAGTAGTGGTGAGCCTTAAAGCTAAGGGAACAATCTTCGAGAACAAAGATTAAGTTGACATAGTTGAAGACAGAGGAAAACCTTGGGTTCTTTGAGCGACGTGACATACAAAACGCCAGATCACGTGGGGCCGTAGTGTTGAATGCCACGACTGGCGAATTACCCTACACTTGAACGACCTTCGAGATGGCCACGAATTAATGTGAGCATATGTCTTTCTAAGTTCACTCTCTGATGGAGATGGGTCAGAATTGTTATCCCCATATCGTCTGTTTTCTTATGGCGGTTGTGCAGTTCTTTGACTGTCAACGGAGGCCTAACTAACGACTCGCATAATCTTGTGAAACTGGCAGTCTCAAGCCTGATGTAACCCTTGACATAGAATATTAGGTAAACAAAGGCCATGGACGTCAGAGACCAAGGCTAGAAGGGAAATTTTTTTGTTGGATTGACATAAACGACTTTATTTCAACATGTCACGAATATTTGGTACTCATAAAGAACATCGCCCCAAAGAAGAGAAGCCCTTGACAAACAACACCAGTCACAAAAATATCAGCAACAACACTCGATCAGAAATGCAGCCTGCCATAACCAATACATCTAGTACCGAGTGGTACACTTTGCAGTCGTCGTAGCTCTCGAAGGGCTCTGCTTAACAGATGACACTCCTCCTTCAACGATGGTTGGGCCAGGAACTTCATAGTCAACCGAGCTCGAGTAGACATTGACCAGAATTCCCGGATCTTCGATGTCATAAAGCTCAGTACCGAGGTACCCAGAGGGAGAGTCGGAACCATCACCTGTGATTCTGAGGTTGAAGCATTGTGGATAGTTCTGGGCACCGCCTCGCTGAAGAGCATTGTGCAGAGCAATGATCTCGTGTCGAAGAACATAGTTCCCAGGAGCAATGTTCTCTGGAATTCGGACGTTCCATCTGTCTCCATTCTCTTGGAGAACACTGTCTGCATACCTGCCAGGAGTGCCCTGTTCGAGTTGACCCAGACCATCAATCTTGAAGAACTCAAGCTCAGTCTTGTCAACTCGCTCACAAGGGCCCTTGCAATTGGCGAGGTAGTTCAAGACAGGGCCGATGTGGTTCTCAGGCCAGCCTGACCATCGGAGGGTGATGACATCGCCTGCTGTGACTTCGATGTGGCCCTCGGCTGGAGTGGCATTGCGGTGGCAGATGATATCAGGATCGCCGTAGGCTTCAGGAGAAACGAAACCATTGTCTCGCTGCGAGATGGTCCAGCCAGCAACGACAGGAGGGTTCTCCATGTAGGGAAAGTCGGTGCTGCCATAGCCTTGGTAAGACACACCGTTGATGGTGATCTCATCAACATGACCATGGGCAGAAACGGTGACTGCAGGAAGAAAAAGAGCAAGCCAGCAAGCGGCCTTGGAAGGGGCCATCTTGGAGAGAAGGCTCATGGTGAAGATAACGACCGAAGTTGAAAAATGTCAATGAGTGTGGAGTCAAAGAAAAGAGTGTTGGAACTAGATGAAGGAAATGCTCTGCTTCTTTCACTTCTTTTGATATTGGGAGACCACCGAGCTTTTATACCTGAAGCTGGGTCTATCAAGTCTCGTTTGAATCTCTGCGTTTGAAACTATCCTGCATCTCCTCCACACCAACGATAACCTTACCTTGATTAAAGGCACATAGGAGTTTCTCCGATGTAGTTATCCTGTTTCTTGACGAATCAACACCCGAAGGATGTGTCGGTTGTATCATGATTGGTCTCTTCTTCGGCTGTCAACCTCTATCCCCTGATCTGTACAACATTCCCAGACAAGATTTCCGTAGGGCCAAGAAACAGCCACAGTAGGAGATACATGAGACGGGAAACTAGAGTCAGATGTAAACGCCGTAATATGACTGCTTGAATCAGGGGGAAGAGGCTGAACCAAAGCGTCAACTTGATCTGTAGACGAATAGGATACTGTTTCTATCTGCATGCAAACGGAACAGAACGTGACGGGGGCTTGCAGCCGTTGTTTCAACATTGGGTATTCCGACTGTGCGTACTCATTGGAGAGCAGCTGGTCAATGACTTGCAGCAAGCCGTACGCCACTTAAGTTGAGACGGCTGAATTAGAGTCCCGGGTTGCCGAAGGCTGCCTGACAAGCATGAGAGCATCGGATCGGACAGTGAAGAAAGACTGAAATTAAGGACAGGCTCAATAGCTTGCTAACGAAAGAAAATGTTTCAAGTCGAAATCTCACTTGGTTGCTAAATGAACAGAAATTCGTAAGATATACAAGAGTTGTGATCTGTCATTTGGATATAAATATGTGTGAACTACTAGAAAACAACCCCTTTTGTCATTTTACACCATTTTTAGAAAGATGGAGGTGGATATCATGCCGTCTCTTCGTCAAGCTCGTAGGGGAGAGATACATCCCAACCGCAACGCCATGCCAGGAAAATGCACCTCAGTGCATACACCACAAACATTCATCATCGTGCCGTCTCAGAACTCGCCTTCGCCACCATGGCCAACCACGCTCGCAGTCCAGAGACCAACGAGTCCCCACCAGCTGACCTTCCAGCCTCTCCAGAGTCCCTCACGACCCTGGCCCTTGTAGACTGTGGCGGCAATACCCTTAGTTTTAGCCTTGCCCTTCTTTGCCACGGCTGGTTTCGTGCTGGTGACCTCGTGAGTTCCCTCCTCGTTCACGATATGGAACATGGTGCCGAAAGTGCCTTCATAACGTCCTGGGGGGACAATAGTTGTGAATTGCTGATCAGGACCGCTAAGTGCTTGCACATATTCGCGGCTTGACAGGACTGAGACCTGACCACGTCGAAGGACAGTCTCAATAGGAAGCTTGAGCAGGATCGCAGATGATGAGGCGACAAATTTGGCGATAGAGAAGGTCATTGGGGAGATCTGGCTGTCGATCATGAACTGAGTTCGGAGAACTAGGGGTGTTGAGAGAGTGATAAGAGGGTGGATCAAGGAGTTGAGGACGGTTGGCAATACTAGCATCGAGGAGCAGAGGTATGAGGGGAGGTTTCTGAGGGTAGCTAGCGTCCTGCGTTGGCCGTTTGAGCTCGGAGTGACGATAAGTCTAGCCAACGTTAGTTTTGCTTTTACAAACGAGATGCGATAGATCATACCTAGTTCGAACCAAGTCTAATGGTGAGAGAGCAAGTCCTGTAGCCACAGCAGCAGCCGCAGCAACAAACAGTGATGCCCAAGGATACGGCGAGGCGATATCGATCATGCGATCAATGTCCTCTCTAACACCCATGTCTGGGACATTGAAAATTGCACTGAGAAAACTTCTACCCCAGTTTTCCAGCAGCGACTGCAACACCGTATAGAGAAATGTCGCATTTGATCCCTTCCATACGCCCCAAGCACCTTCTTTTCCCCATAGCTGCCCAATCACTTCAAGAATAGAATCTGGTCGGCGAAGCGTGAGATAATGTTCCGGAACATTCGGTTTCTTCACAGGAGAGGGAGCTCGTCGACCTTGTGAGCTTCTAGGAGTAGAGGGACTGGGAGTCGACGGTACGTGGGATGTGAAATAGGCAGGTTCCTCGCCTTCAGAATCTGAGTCTCCAAACTATGCGTCATGATTTAGCGGTGTACCTCACACCAAGCTCGAAATTCACTTACACCACCGTACATAGAGCTTCCATGAAAAGAGGGTTGTCTCTTAGGCGTCTCTGGCTCAACAGGAGTTTCGTATGCAGCATTTTCATCCTGGTTCCGGACCTGAAGCAATGTCTTTGCTACCTCGAAAGGTTGTGCCATGAGCACCGAGGTGTACTTCCATAGCAGCTCGTCGATAAGGTCCTTGACACTCTGGACCATAGACGGGGAGGTATCGCCTAGATAATCATTGTATTCGAGGTCGGATAGAATATCGCGTGCTTTGGAGGCATATCTTTCACCAGCTGCAGTCACATGTCGTCCATCGGGGAATGGGTTTGGGCTAGGGCTCGGCTTATTGACTGTCTCGGCGGCGTCTCCAATTGTGGGAGGGATATAGTAAGGCCTCAAAGGATTGACGCCTTCTCTGTGAGTCGACATGGTTGGCCGAGACGACACGACGACATAAATCCCTATAAGAAATAATTATAGAGAAAATGCGACAGTTGAGAGCTCTATCGTTACCCGATTCTTACCAGAGAAAATGAAATCATGCCTGCCAATGGCCCCACCCCGGCCACCCGGAGTTAGATGTCGGATTCCGGCCAATGGATTTCCCGGCCGAAAGCGCTGTTTTGCTGATCCGCTATCCGAAGCTACTCGCTTTTTTTCGGGCTTGCTTAATATCATCTTGGACGTGAGAGGACGAGACGGGGGCATAAGCGTCCATTGACCGAAATTGGCGCATCTAGAGCCTTTCAACACTTTCACTCTTCAACTGAAGCACTGTACAGCTTGTCATTGAATATATAACGCTCGAGCCCCTCAATTCCTCCATTAATTTTCGACAAGAACCCCGCCGATATCTCGAATTCGCCGAAACTATGTCTGCGTCACGATCCTTTGCGACCTGCTTGGCCAAGCTCCCGGCTACAGCATCACGAACAACACAGTCAATGCGACTTAGCCAGAATGTGCTGTCTCAGAGATCTAAGAGTCGATCTCCTATAATCTCTCGATCTATTCGATTCTCGCCTGTTTCCCATAGAGCATTTACTACAACGACACAAAGGCGCCATGGACATATTGACCCCCCGAAGCCCGGTGAGGAGTATGTTTAACTTAAAATCCTAAACCAAAAGTACACTGGCTGACATTATTTAGACTTTATGTCACATTCATCGAGAAGGACGGCACAGAGAACAAGTTTGCCGTTTCTGAGGGGGACAACCTCCTCGATATCGCCCAAGCAAACGATCTAGAGATGGAGGGTGCATGCGGAGGATCTTGCGCCTGCTCGACATGCCATGTTATCGTTGCCGACGACGCATATTTCGACAAGATGCCCGAGCCCGAGGATGACGAGAACGATATGCTGGATCTGGCCTTTGGACTCACTGAGACGAGTCGATTGGGCTGCCAAGTTAAGATGACCAAGGAACTGGACGGCCTAGTGGTGAAGCTGCCATCCATGACGAGGAACCTACAAGCGAGCGATTTCAGTTAAGAAGCTTAATGAAGCATATGTTTGATATGAGATGAGGAAAAATCTGTACTTGTAAAACTACTGTATTGGGAAAGACCGGGCGATGGCGGGGATTCAGGTGCATCATATGGGGTATCTTTGTTGTGACATTTAGTTGCAAGGCCGGAAGAGCACGGCCTGATGATTCTACTACTCCTCTTAAAAAGAAAGAAAGAACTGAACACATAGAAATGATATTACGCCTCCTCAAGCGCTCCCTTTTTTAACCCGCCGCCTCCTGAGGCGATCAATTCCAAGAATCCCTTCTTACTCATCTCATTGACCTTTTCCTCTCGCTTCTTCATACCGATGACACCCTCCTTTTTCACACCCTTCTCAGCTTCAACAGCCTTGACCTGCGCGGCACGAACAGCGTTGAATAGCTTGACAACACCACGCTGCGCAACCTTTCGTAGCCTCCTCTCTGTCTCCATAATCTCGGATGTGGATGTCTCGAGCTCTCCAGTGGCGTCGTTTGTGGTTGCGATAAGAACATCCTTTACACGGCCCTTCTCGAATGCTCGCTTCTTCTGCTCGCGCATCTGCTTTTTCGCCTTAGATTCTAGGGCGCTGTCGACGGCGGCCTTTGAGGCTTCGTGTGCTGCGGCACTTCGGGCAAGGACAGGATCTGATCGCTTGGATGTTGATAGCTTGGTGGAGAGAATCTTGGAGAGCGATGTTGCGAAAGCATTGGGGTCGTTTCGCTTTGACTTTTTGCGTTTGTTTGTGGACTCGCCATCCTCCTCCTCATCGTCGTCCTCTGAGCCTTCGTCATCATCGTCGTCTTCCTCTTCCTCGTCGGATTCAGCTTCTGGTTTGCTGTCTCGGGCATTCTTGGCGTTTGCTTTTGTCTTCTTCAGGGGCTTCTTTGGTGCAGCGCCCTCGTCTTCTGAGCTTGAAACTTCATTGTCGGAGTCGCCAACATCGTCCACCTTGACATTGTGAATATCGTCGTCGGAATCGAGCAGATTTACAGCGTCAAACTCTTGCGCCTCCTCTGGTTCAGAGTCGCTGTTGTAGTCGCGGAGTTGCTTTCTCTTTTGCTTCTTTGAAGGCCGTTGTAGACGACCATCGTGCTGTCTCTTTTTCTTATTTCCAGGTCCGGCCATTGTGGATTGTTTGTGTTGAGTTAATGGAAGCTGGGATGGACAACGCTTCCAGTGCAAATCGTCGCGGATCTGAATTGGACGTCAAACTTTTGAGAATTTTGCCGGGGAAATTTTCTGGCCAGTGGAGGGGTGGGCCTGGGCGGTGAGCTAAGCTTCTGTGGATGGGCTGTGGGGCCGATGCTGGTGGGGCTGTATCTGAGAGGTCCCGGTACAGGTACATGTGTTATTCTATGGTATTGTTTGTACCCTGGTTCGGCGTTGAAAAATGATTCTTAGGTGATACGAGTGGTATTAAATAGTGCTATAGACTTTCAAAAACTGAATATCGGTCCCCCCTCTTGCGTAGAGATCTATATCTAGAAGAACTTGCTGAGCTTGTCCCACAGTGATGGGGGCACGATCTTCTCAACAGGAACTGCTTCAGGCGCATCCGGAGCCTCCACTGTTGTCTTCCAGGTTTCCTTTCCGTCGATGTAAAGGGTGTAGTGCAGTGAGCTCCCGCCGTTTTCAAGTTTCTCAATAGAAAAGGATCCGAACTTGGACTTGCCTCCAGGGATATAGCTTGATTTTTGTTAGTGACTATGTCGTGTTAAATGGAGCATAGACTTACTTCATCATAACATCCTCGTTATCTGTCTGCTTGTATGTTGGGAAAGGAGAAGCGAATTGGTTCAAAGGACTTGTCGAAAACTCGTGAGCAGCAGCGGACTGTGGCCATCGCGAGTCAACAGGGGGTGGAAACCTGGTTGCGGCGAATTCATGACGATCACCAGAGAGGATAAGGACACTGGCGCCTCGAGCACCAGAATCCCACATAGCTTCAAGGACTTGCTTTCTCTCAGCAAGGAAACCACCCCAGGTATCCTTGACATTTATAGGCCAGTTCTTGGTGAAAGGAACAGAAGAAGCAATGAACTTCCATCGAACTCCTTGGGGAACAGGACGCTCCAACCATGCCAGAAGGTCAGCCAATTGCTCCTTGCCTAGCATGGTCTTGTACGTGGCATTGAAAGGGGCGTTGTTGCTAGAACGGTAGCTGCGAGTGTCCATCATGAAAAAGCTGGCTGGTCCCTGGGTGAACTCGTACCATGTGGCATTGCGTCTCAGGTTGAGAGGACCTGCAGCTTCAGAAATCGGTGGGTTAACGTTAGCTTGGTAGATGTGCCAAGGGTCAACAGCCGCGCTGTAGATGCCAGTTGTGTTAGAAGACCAATCGTTAGAGATCTCATGGTCATCGAGCACGTGAATCCAACTCAGATTCTGTGCAACAGGGGCCCAGTCAGGTGAAGCATAGACTTGGCGGTATTGCATGCGATACTCTTCAGCCGTTTTTCCAAATCGTTCAGGGACGTCAACATAGATGAAGTCGCCAAGGAAGAGCATGAACTGAGGATCCAACTTAGGAAGTAGACCTGCAAGATTCCTCAGGCCAGGGATAGCCAAAGCATGTTCCATGGGGTTGTAGGGAAATCGAGGAAGAATGCAAGATGTGGAGAGGAAAGTGAAAAGGCCATCCTTGGTATTGGGCATCTTTCCAGCCTTGGGAGCAGAGCGGAACTCGCCGGTGTGGTTGTTGGAAGTCCTCCACTCATAGATGTTCTGCTTTGCGGAGTCAAGAGGCACTGTAAGAGTTGTGGTGAAGTCAGTGCTGTTGTCAGTCGAAGTGACGTAGCCTGCAGTGAGCCAAATCTTGGAGTCATAAGTCGGCTCATCATCCTTGATGTGGTATTCGAATGTGATGGGCATTTGCAACTGATCAGGTTCACGAATGATGAACCTGGCCTCTGATGGTGACACATATCCAAGTCGAACCAAAGAAAGATCATCAGAAGGATAATACCACCTTGCACGATATAGAGCATCAGCTGTCAAGCCGATAAGAATGGCGTTGATAAGGAATGTCAAGAACGACGCAATTGGGCGCCTAGCGCTGGGAGCTCCGGACAAGAGGATGTTCGCGATGCTGGGAACCTTCTCCCCAACAGTAACTTTCTCTTCAATGTCGACAACCTCGGCAACGACCTCAGTCTCAGGCGCGACTGCGACACCATCCTCTGTTAATAAGGGGGTTTCAGAGGTGATTGTGGACTCTTTCAGAGTGACGTCGACTTCATCTTCGAGAACTCCAATCTCTGGCTTTGCGAAGTAGCTCGCAATGTAAGAAGGAACATAGATTGCAAAAAGCGCAAACGCGATTGAAGGGAAATGTGCCTGAAGGATTCGGTTAGTTGGTGAGATTAAAGCTCCTTGAGCTTGAGCTTACTGGGAACTATAGTCTATGGTCAGTAATTTCTTACACTAGCAAATAGGAACCACGTACAAGTCTGAAGAATATGAGAGCGCTTATCCTCAGAGCGACTGAGGATAGCTTTGCGGCCTTCGTTTGAACAGCCATGATAAGGACTCCCTTTAAGGGGACACCAAAACAATAAGGAGGTGATTGGCGAAAGCTGGGATGAGACGGGGCGTGTACGACAAAATAGGCCTAAACTTTGCGATAGAATTAAGGAGAGTCAAGAAGAACAAAAGCTGAAAGTTTATATAGCGACAACTCAACGCGTCATGAGGATCAAGTTATTTATCAAGAAAACAGCCCCGTTTTACCTGAAGCTTTGTTTGATGAAGGACTGACAGGGGAGTGAGGTCATGATCTTAGATGACCTTGTAATACTACCTTGACGCGTATTGGCTCATGAGTTAGGATGTGGCTTGAATGTGGCTGAACATCTCCGCTACCAGGAGTTGCTAAAAAAGGAGCTCAGGAGGGGTCTTCCAGGGGGTCGGTGCCAGCAAAATTCCGCGCCGCTCTGGAAGCTCAATCGTGGCCCGTTCAGTTAGTTACAGCACATGTCCACTTTAGCGACAGCTTGTCCTGAACAGCACGCGACAACATCTCATACAACGCCGCAACAATGAGACTATCAACACTTGTCGCTGGGCTTTTCGCCGGCCTGGTCACCAATGTCGCCGCTACTGCTTTGACATATAAGCTCGATGCCAACGAGAAGGCCTGCTTCCATACCACCACGAAAAAGGAGGGAGAGAAGATCGCATTCTACTTTGCTGTGAGCCTCTTCCAATGCAACATCACCCACCGAATATCGAGTTTAACATGAACTACAGGTCCAATCTGGTGGTTCTTTTGACGTCGACTATGTCGTCGAGGGTCCCAATGGCAAGATCATCATGGACGGTCAAAAGGAGCGACAAGGCGACTTTGTCTTCTCCGCCAATGTTGTCGGCGACTACTCTTTCTGCTTCGACAATGAGATGAGTACCTTTGCTGAGAAGTTTGTCGATTTCGAGATTGCCGTCGAGAACGAGTCACGCGCCCAACTGCCTTCCAAGCAGGGTACCACCCCCGAACAAACATCGATCCTAGAGGACTCCATCTTCAAGGTCTCTGGCCAGCTGTCGACCATCTCCCGAAACCAGAAGTACTTCCGAACACGTGAAAACCGCAATTTTGCCACTGTCAACAGCACTGAGGGCCGAATCATCAACTTCAGCATGATCCAGATCGGCCTGATTATTTGCATGGGTGCCCTGCAGGTGTTTGTTGTTCGATTCTTTTTCCAGGTAAGTTCTACTTGTATGTATGACCGTCCGTGGAATACTGGCTGACTGTATAATTAGGGTGCGCGCAAGGGTTACGTATAAAGAAATCGCTGTATCATATACTACGACGGAACTGGGTGTTACGGGACGCAGAATCAAAAGGAGATGGATATTGGAAGTGTTATGTATAATCAACGGAAGCAGAGCGCTTGGCCTGGCTTGAGAGTATGGCATTTGGGTTGACTTTACAGATTTGCGATACTGATGATAGTTGTCATGATGCGCTTTTGCTTGGCTTGACAGTTAATGAATGACATGAAGCTGTCATACTTTGCATTTTATGAAAAACTGATGTTTTCCTCGTAAATAGAAGTTCTCTTCTAACTTCCGCCATTGTCAACATCCTAATCTCCTGACGGATGAAAGAATACCTGGCCAGTAGTTGCCCAACCAATGAGCTATGACGTTTTGGGGGATGGCTACAATACCTCCATGTCTATCAGTGGGTAAAAGTGTTCAAAAAGAGAGCATTGCATCCTGTTTATAAAGAACGACGAATAGCTAAGATAGTGATATGTGTGCAAATCACAGTTGAGATACTAAGCGCTCGAATTGCACGGACTGAGGAAGTCTTCTGGAGTTGTCTGATTGCAAAGCTTCAACAATCAATTACGTTACTGTACACTGAGCTGCCTTGAACTTCAATCTCAAAGATTCGATATATCTGATCTTCAAGTATGAGTTCTTGTTTTCATAATCTCTGCAGCTTTAATTGTTTCTCTATTGTCAATCTTTCATCGGGTTTAAACATTGCTTTTCAAGGTTGATTCATGCACCATCGAATCTTGGCGTAGCACTAAGGTACGCTGTGCGCTAAACCTTTTTTGGGGCCATCGCCTCTTGAAATTCTAAACCTTGGAGCCTCGCGACTGACGAACGATCCAAACCACTTCATCCTTACAACCACAAAATGACATCGATCGCCGGGTCGCTTCAGGCTGCGCTGCCCAAGCCAAAATACACGGGTGAAGATGAGGAACCTCCGGCACGAGCGCAACAACGCGGTGTTCGAATTGTTGGCCCCGGACAACTCGACGAAACCCAGCTCGTCCTCAAGCGATCTGGTCCTCCAGCATATGGCCAGCGCTCAGGATGGCGCCCTCGATCGCAGGAGGACTTTGGCGATGGAGGTGCTTTCCCCGAAATCCCGATCGCTCAGTATCCGTTAGAGATGGGAAAGAAAGGAGGAAGTTCCAGCAACGCGTTGGCGATTCAAGTTGATTCCGAAGGCAAGGTCAAATACGATGCCATCGCGCGACAAGGACACAGCGAAAACCGTATCGTTCACACTTCATTCAAGGAATTGATCCCTCTTCGACAACGCGCTGACGCGGGCGAGATCGATCTTTCGCGACCCGATAAGGAGTCTGTAGAGGCAACAA